AACCTAAGACGAAATGGTAACAAATGAACTTACTTAGAAAACAGAAACAGACTCAGAGAATGATCTCATGGTCGCCAAGGGGATGGGATAGATAGGGAGTTTGGGATGGATATGTACACAATGCCACATTTAAAATGGATGATCAACAAGGACCTACTGTATAGCACAAGGAACTCTGCTCAATGTTACGTGGCAGCCTGGCTGGGAGGGGCTTGGGGGAGGATAGATACATGTAGTATGTGTACGGCTGAGTCGCTGCACCGTCCACCTGAAACTATCACAACATTGTTAATTGGCTATACCCCAGTATGAGATAAAAAGTTAAAAAAAATGTTGTATATCACAGAAATAACATTTCCTTGTCAATTTCATTATGATGAACTCTCATCAGATCTTTACCAATGGGCATTTTTAAGTTATTATTTACAGACAGATCTTTTATCCTAATGCTTTGGCAGAAGGGAGATTCATGGAAAGTAACCTACCACGAGCTCTTGATGGCCACATGGCTGCCCAATCACAAGGATTAAACCTTGGGTAGAGATGTCACAACGGATGAAGGCTCCACCTATCTTCTGGTCCCTCCTGCACAAAAGCTGGCAATCTCAAACCAAACTGACTAGGGAGAGAAGTGGCCACCGCAGAGGTAAGACTGCTTCCTCCCAAAATGTCAGATCAAGGACCTTTCTTTTTCCTCCTTCCCTCTCTGACCATCCTTTTCCTAACTCTGAGCCTGTGAAGGTTTTCTATGATTCTTCTGTCCATCTTTCTGCTTTGGAGAGAGAGTGCCATCGTCCCCACGTCTCAGACCACTGCAAAGGAGGACAAATCCAACCTCCAGACAACTGTTTGAATGATTAACACTATGATGCTGGTGATTAAGTACTTCTGCCAATCCATCACAGCTTCTCCCTGATTTCCAGGGCCTCAGTTTCTCTGGATCGAAGCTCAGCCAGCCCCCATCTCTAGTGTGTCCCACTCCTTAACCCTGGGGGTCTGCTTTCTTGTCTCTGGTTATCGACCCAGGGAACCTTGCATCCAGGCTGTGTACAGAGAAAGGGACATAAGGCAAGGGAGACCAGAATAAAACCACCTGTGCTATCTACAAACCCTTCCCTTTTACTGGCTTCCAGGGCTGTCAGCTTCCAAGTCCCTAGCCACAGGTTCAACACAAATTCCCAGGCAGGAGTCAGAGATTTCAAAATCTGCTTTCTTTGGCAGATCCCTCCTCCCCTGGCCAAGAGCTGAAGCAAAGGAGGCCATGATCTGCAGTCTCTCCTTACCTCTTGAAGATACTGCAGACCCTGCTGGTAAAGCAACAGCTGCCCAATAAAAACATCCCTAGACTGACCAGAGTTGTTCCTGATGAGACAAGCCTCTGAGAGCCTCTAGCTGAGCAAGGAGGTGTCTGAGCTGTGACCCACACCCCTGCACCTGGATCAACACTTTGGGGGAAGGTGAGACTCAGCCACAGAAGATTACTGAACAAGCCCAGCACTTTCTTAGGCCAGCAGCCCAACCAACACAGTCTGTCTTTGGGGGTCATTCTGTTTACAAGATTAGTTACCAGAGGGTGCTGTGTTCTCTCAAAAGCTTTAAATACAGCTTTGCAGCCACAGGCAACCAAGCACATGCTCTCCCTCAAACAGAACATCAGAAAAGGAACAGAATGACTGACTGACAGAATGTCAGTGAACCCTATATCATGGCCTGTGAAGACCACACAGAGATTCAGTGAAAAGCCGGTAAGAACTCCAGAGCCATAGCTGGGGGTAGCCCTGCTGCCTTACATTTGGATCACTGATGAAAAGGGGGGAACTGTTAAAAACAACAGACCCAAAATGCAGTGGTATAGGCTAAGCTCCACGTCATCAAACCGAGACTTGACTTTACAGTTTCAGCTCCCCCAGGAATGGAATCCCCCAATCTGCATGATGAGGACGTCACCTGCAGACGCCTGCCGTCCGCTAAAGGAAAGCAGCTGGGCCGTCTCCACCTGCCTCTGCAGCTGGTGTAACTGCCTGTGCCTGCCTGCTGCCTCCTGCCTGCACGTCCCTGCTTTTGTGCAGCATCTCGGAGCTCCTTGCTTTCTGCTGGACTGGAAGCTCCTTGAGTCACAAATCACTGAAATAAAGCCAGTAGGATCTTTCAGATTTACTCAGTTGAATTTTGTTTTTTAACACTACTTTCCTTGCAAAGGCTAAGCCCATTTTCTAAATTCCCCCATCTATCAGCTCAGGGCATCTGCAACAAAAGTTGTTCTTCATCTCTCCTTCTGTTGAGGATTTGTCCCACCCTCCTTTTCAGGAGAAGGTCTAGCTCTTTCTCTACAGCAAGAAGGTACTGTCTTGTTCCCCCACACACCCCTGCTTGCTTCTTCATCTGTGCTTTCGCCCTTGGAAGGGCGTTCTTCAGCCTCTGCCTGTCAGAGACCCTGCTCCCACCTTGGGCTTTTGAAGCCAAGTTCACACAGCATCTCTAGAAACCACATCTCACCACATCTCAGAGTATTGAATACATAAATGCTACAAGAGTTAGCACTGCCATCTTTTGATTGAGTAAACTTATCATTCGGAAGTGGCTTTGAAAGGAACTGTATCATTAGCTTCTCAGTTAACCCTTGAAATGCTATTAATTTCAATACTTTGTCACCCCTTAAGAATAGGAACCAGACCAATGTTTACGTTTTTATGCCCACTGAAGCAGGGCTTTGCAAATTTCAACATGCACGTGATTCACCCAGGGGTCCTGTTAAAATGCAGGTTCGAATTCCGTAGGTCCAAGAGTACCTTCTAACAAACTCCTGGGTGACACAGGGGACAAGGCTTGTCTGTGGACCCCATGCTGGAATGCACAGCATTTGGTACAGTGGACAGCTGTCACTCAAAAACACTGGGAGGAAATCATGGGTGATAGATGCTTCAGGACCAACTCCGTCTGCCCCTGGCGCTTTGAGATGTAAACTGCATGATGCTGTTCTTTTCAACAAACACTGGTTACTAAAACTAGTAAAAGATTATACAAGTATCTGCATGTACAAAGAGCCCAGGAAGGTCTAACACACACTTTGAGGTCTTTCTGGGGAAGGAGCAGTGGGAATATCTAACATCTGATGTGGAAACAGACACATAAAGATCGAGTCCCACGCGTATCTACAGACAGGACATGAAGACGACAGCTTCCACACCACTCAGATGATTCCCCCCTGGAGATTATGATCCATATGAGCAAAGGCAACTCCTGCACCACATGTGAGCCCTCCAGCTCACGAGCAGGGAAGGGGAAGGGCTGGAAGAACAACACGTTCCCTTACGATACCTCTATTCATCAGTACTTTGGTGGGCTGGAGACTCGGACCCATCCATAATGGGCGAGTTTTCTGTCGCTTCTCTGAACCAAGGAAAGCAGGAAAAGGAAGAGAAGAGAGGTCATGTTAAAGAGAGGAACTGACACAGACACGATGAGTAGCTTATCAATACACTGGAAAGCCCAGCTGACTATTCACCCAAGTGTTAGTGACAAATAGGATATTTTCAACCCCGTGCACAACTCAAAGATCGCTTTGGTTCTCTTAAGAAGACGCCAGGCTTTGGCACTACTTCTCATTTTCTTATCACATCACAGAGAATAGTTATTCTTCACTAATGATAACTCAATCTGATAAAAGAGTTTAAGGACCAACCAAAAATTTTTTGTTTCAAATTGGTTTCGGGTCCTCACTAGCTGTGTCAAACATAGGCAGCCACCCAGATCCACTCCAAGGTAAAGGTGCTCCTAAGCTCCACAGCCTGCGGTCAGTCAAGTGACAGTCATACATTTGGAGCAGGTGAGACCAGGTGTGATCCAGAAAATGTGGAGGAGCCAGACAGACACCCTGAAATCAGAAAGTCCTTACTTGGGGTGATGGCTTAGTCAGTGGAGGTACCATATACACAAAAGGTCACTCTTATGGATCTGTCCTCCTGAAACTCTTGGGCCGGAAGCCTTGCAGCAGCTGCCTAACCACAGGAGCTAGAGCTGGGGTGCAGATGGTACGTAAGGAAGTGTCATAAGGTGTGTAATAAGGACAGAGTGGGTAGCTGCTGCCCCACAGACAAACCAAGCAGTGGGAGTGGACAGAGAACACGCAGCTGGGACTGCAGGCTCTGTTAATTCAAGAGGAGTAAGAGGCAGCGTGGGGTGGTTCAGTGACATCAAACTTGAGTGCATCAGAATCCCCTGGAGGGCTTGTCACCACACTTGACTGCCAGCGCCCTCCACCCTCGACTTAGGTTCTGACTCAGTGGGTCACCGATGGAGTCGCGATGTTTGTGCATTTCTAACAATACCCCAGGTGATGCTTATGCTGCTGGTCTGGGTACCGCATTTTAAGAACCACTGGTTTAGTGGAAAAAGACAAGGCTTTGGTTTGGGGTAACAGTGCAGGGCTGAAATCCCAGGGTCATCCAACTGTGTAAGATGGCAAGGCACTGACTTTCTCTGAGCCTCATCTATAGAACAGAAAAAAGTCTGGATACTTCCCTTACAACGTTGCAGTAAGGATTACATAAGCTGATACAGGTTAAAAGAAGCTCCTGGTCTTTGAGTACACAGCAAGCACTGAATCTTAGTTCTACTGTCAAATACTAAGGCAAAGCCTGGCTTAAAATCACTAGAGATAAATGTGCAGAAACTGAAAAACGTCTGCCAAACACAGACATCTGGTCAAAGAAGTGCACTCACCTCCACATTTTTGGGATTATCACCAACTTTGAAAGAGAGTAGAGAGAATCAGCTGAATAAAGAGACTGCACTGGGAGGGGTGGGGGTGACCAGCAGGGCCTGGGGCCTCTGGAGAGGAGGGAGCTTCCCAGTGCCGTCCATCATTCCCAGGACATTGTTCTGCAGACACACCCTCTGTTACCAGGATCTTCTACCTGCTATCCTCTAACCCACAGAGAAGGCTGAGGAGGGTTCGAGAACCTGGGAGGGAGAATCAGAGGTCTGCCAAGGGAACTCACCCAGTCTGCCAGCTTAGGATGTGGTGGGGGCTGCTGGGGGGCGTCGCTCCTATTTCACTGGACGGTGTTGAGCTTCTCTGGCTTTGAGGTAAGGCAGCTGCATGTGGGTGGTGCAGAAAAGATGGGTCAGACCCAGGGGAGTGGAGGAGCTTCCTTCCAGAGATGCTCCCAGGACCCGTCGCAGGGTCCTGATGGGAAAACACCTGCCCCTCTCCCCACATTTGGCCAATTACGTTTCCTCTCCTGAGCCGTTCTAGAATGCTGGGTTGAGCTCGCCTGGGATTCCAGGTCCCCTGCTTTGCCACTGGGAAGTGGCCACAAGGATGGTGACAGTCCCCACAGTCCTCAGAGGGGGACCCGGGCTGACCGAGTGCAGGCATGACTGATTTCTTCGGACACCAGTGAGATACGCCGCAGGGAGTTTCCAGATGTGGCCCCAAGGTTAAAACTGTTCTTCATTACATAGAATAGAGAACCTCCAGAAAGGTTCTCGGAGCTTGTGGTCTCTGCTGTTTCAGGCTTGTCATTTACCATGTTTAGGACACGTCAAATGGGGCAGGACTTTTCAGAGCTCATCCAAGTCTGACTACTAGGAACTTATTGATGGGAACAGGATTTTTTTTTAGTTGGGAAAACTCACTAGGAAGCAAATCCTACTTAAATGCATCCCTTTGCCTCCTTGGGAATGCAATCTTTTTCATCAGGAAAGGTCAGATACAGCTTCCTAGAATTTTTAGTTTAAAATATGTTTCAAAAGATTGACCGAATCTGTCCAGGTAAAGCAAATCTAGATAAGCACTACAATTCTGACAGAATCTAAACACTCCTGCCCTGTCCAACCAAGGCTTCTCCTAATAGGGTCACAGGGAAACACGCTCTTTAAACACTATGCGTAACTTATTCATGCAGTTATTCTCAAAATCCTCCTAGGAAATTGATGGCAAATGTCACCTGGGTGACATTTGGGCTGGGCTGACTTGACAGATGACAGACGCATCTGAAGAAGCTTTTAGGATGTTGGAGTCCATGGTTCTCTCACCATGGACTTGAACCGTATTTATTCCTGTCCCTGAAACTTGTCATTCAGCCGATGAACCTTAATACATGAGTCAGCGGGGCACTGGGGAGAGGACAGAGGAGCCCCGTGGCCTGGTGTAGCTGGGAGCTGGCCGGGCCTTCCTCTTTGCCCTGCCCTCCCTAAGCCCCAAGCATCTCCTTCAGTCCCCTAAAGAGGGACCCCTCGTTTTCCTTCCTTAAGATCACTCCCCTTTCCCTGGGTTTTTGCCCTTACTTATCCTAATTTCCAGCCCCAAGTCAAATCCTGACTTGGACTTTCTTCCCTTCGCTGCTCATTTATACTTTGAGAATCATTTTTATTATGTCTCACAGTCCTCCCCCGTTTTCTTTTCCTACAGCCAGGGGAATGCAGTTGCTCTTTTTCAGATTGGCGCCATCAGGCGATTCGTGAATGGGTAGCACCCGTCCACCAACTAGAAAGGTGCTCTTACCGCTACAATCCCCCCTCTTTGTGGAAACAGATAACCTACACAAGCCTCATGAGTGCAGGTGCTGAGAACCCCTCAGGGACGTGGCGAAGGCAGGACACATCCTGGTTATTACCATTCTTCTTTCTTGGAGCTGGAGAAGGGAAGGGAGTGTAACTGAAGGGGGAGCTGCTTTCTTTCATTTTTTTCACTGGATTCAGTACTGCTTAATGCCCAAGTACAAGAATACAAGGTAACCTTTCATCTGACAATGAAACTGTGAAGGTGTAACTCCAGGACCTCAGAAGCACTTGACAAAAATTACCCTGGTCAGATCATAACATCACTGGAAAGGGATGCTGAGGTGCAGTCAGGAGTTCCCTGAAGTCACTGGGGAACTCAGGCAGAACTGCCACTTCTTTCTGCAGCCAGTCTGCCAAATCTCAGGGCCTCAGGACCAAGCATCGCCTGGAGGGAGCTCTCCTCTGCAAGGGTGCCCTCCACTCTCTACCGCCAAACCCGTTCACCAGGGCAAGGGCACACCTTTGACTGGATAAACCTGGAAACACGGACTTCACCACTTCCCGCATCTCTGTCCTTACAAGAAGTGGCTGGAGGGGTGAATGGCACCAGAACTTAGGAAGCGGAAATGGGAGACTGCACAGCCCGCTGGGGGTGGGCTAGGGTGTCAGATGCACCGCCCTACCCCCTCCCAGGTCTTCCTCCTTCGGCAAAACCAAGGGCAGAATGGAAGGGATGGGAAAGGAGGGGAACGAAGGTCTTGCACTTCCCACAGCTAGGTTTCTAGAATTAACCATCTCTCCTTACTGCCGGCTCTAAAACCTGCACTCTCCACCGGTCCACATCCTGAACGATGATCACGCACGCGCCCACCCGGTCGCGCGCCCTCCCAGTCCCCGGTCCCTCCTCACCTGACGTGGCCTTGCACATCTGGGGCATCCGGGTGACCCTGCTGTGCGCCACGAAGGTGCTCTGGGAGGAGGTGCTGTACTGGGAGCCGCTGTCCGAGGAGGTGGAGCTGGTGTGCGACAGGCGGCTGTGCTCCTTGTGCGAGGCGCTCGAGCGCTGGTACCACTGGCGCAGCTCGTCCGAGACAGCGGCGCGTCCGGCGCCCTTGTCGGGGGCGCCCTCGCGGCCCAGGGATGGAGTCCGCAGGATCTGCGAGCGCGAGGGCGTCAGGCGGCCCGCGTCGCCCTCGTCGCCGCCACGCCAGCTCTCCCGGAAGAGGCCACCTGCCGTGTAGGAGCTGGAGGTCTTGAACTGCGCCTTGACGCTGTAGTGGCCTTCCTGCTCGCTCTCCAGGCTGCGCACCACCACCGGCGTGGCGCCGCCCTCCACGTACAGAGGGTACTCCTTGATGCGGTACTGCGAGCTTGGTTGGCTCTGGCTGTGCAGGTAGACGCCGTGGCCGCCGCCGCGCGCCGCTAGGTTGGGCATGCTCCCCGAGTTCGCCGCGCCCAGGGCGCCCGCCGCCCGCTGGCGCTGGCGCTGGCGCGCGCGCGCCTTGGACGGCGAGTCCTCGGCCAGCGTAGAGTAGTTGGCGTTCATCTGCGCCGGGTAGTAGTGCTCCGAGCTCGAGTGGCTGGTGCACGACGAACAGTCGTCCATGGGGTCCGAGCCGTTGCTGCTACGAGTCCGTGGCGTGTAGAAGTCGGGGCTCCCCGTGTCGTTCTCTGAGCCCAGGAGCTTGCCCTGGGACTCCAAGCTGGAGCTCCGGTGCCGAAAATGCAGGGCCAGGCTGTGCAGCCGCGTGGGGCTGAGGTCCACCGACCTGTGGGGAGAGGACCGGCGAGGTGGGTCTAGGGGCACCCAGGGGAAGGGTTTGGCAGCTCTGCGATCGCCGCCCGGGGCCCTCGGAAACGTGCATCAGACTTCGGAAACAGTCCAAGAGCCGGTGCTTCCCAACCCTCCCAGGTGAAGACAGGGCGAGAAGGGGACGGCTGATCCCCAGGCCTCCGCTCTGATGTTTGATTTTTAATGGGCGGTGGGGTCAGAGACAGCGCCCATGTGTTAACTTCTGAAAAAAGCAAGCCAATAGCCAGGCCCCCCTCCCTTTTTTTTTAAGATGAAAAGAGATGCTACAGACACAGTGAACCAAGATTATCCCCATTTTAGCATTATGTTAAGTCGGTGAAATGTTATTTTAGTAGGTCAAAAAAACCAAACCAAAACAAAAAAGGCCTTGCAGAAGCAATCATACCGTTCTACCCAGTACTATTATGAAACCCATGTCAATAGATTTCTATTTTCCTATGAACACTTGTGTAAAAAGGAAGACTGGTGGCACGTGGAACACTTAAAAATGACAGATGCAAATAAACACTTGCCCCTCCACTACTTTGCTTATAATCCATTCCACTTATTGGAGTCACACAATAATAATGGATTATTGGATGGATTATTATAATAATATCCATCAATATGGCCATGGGGGCAGAGTGTAAGGACTCCATAGAAATTCACCATGGCTGGGCTGACCAAGTACTCAAAGAGGTGAGTCCCAGGGGTGACTGTCACTCAGGGTAGACTGTGAAATCCCAATCATGTGGCCCTCTTTGACTCAGGCCTGAGTTTCCTCGCTGGTCCCACCCCCTACTTCCACCCAAGCTCGTGGGAATATGCCAAGTACAAGCCTGAATTTGGCACTTTGACCTTCCTGTTCCCTGAATATCCTTAGAGCTCACCACCCATCCCATCCAGGTCTCTGCTCAAATGTTATCTTATTAGAGAAGCCTTCTCTGTTGGTTTCATTTATATGATGGTCTCTCCCTTCACTGTCTAGCTTCTTGCCCATTCATTATTCTTCTCAATACTTATCACCGCTGACATTTCTTTACTGTGAACTCTCTTCCTACTAAAACATCAGTCTGATGGAAACATGGTGTAGTCTTTTTTGTCCACTGCGCTGTGCCCAAGAATGGTATTTGGTACATAGATGCACTTGATAAGTATCTGTTGTATGAGTGAGTGAATGAATGAATTGATGGATGGATGAGAGACTCTTGCCTGGAGAGCTCAGTGTTATCCTGTATAAATGGTTCACCGCTTACAGCAGATCACACTATCTGTCCTTTGAACTATAGTCCCTATGGATTTAAGTGTCAGAGAAAATTGACTGATGGCTTTGGTTTTGCCTCTTTTTAGGAAAGGAAGGTGGAATTCACTGAAACCTCACTTTTCTTTTTGCTGTTTAATGAATTTACCCCCTAGGGGCATTCAAGGAAGTCCAGGATAAACTTAGGCTTCAGTAGAAAGATACACACACACGGGGACCCTCCTCTGGGCAAGGCTGTTCTGATCCCTGCTAATCCGGCTCAAGTTCCCGCTTCCGCTCTTACTAGGAAAGCTCCTTCCATATACACAGTGTCTGAGGGATTCCCGGCCAGCTCCTGGTGCCCCACTGATGCAGACAGTGGGATAAAATGTGTGTCTTGGCTCCTGGGGGCCTCTTGCTGCCTGCTCAGTTTTTAATTCAGCTTCACTTACAGAAGAGCCTACCTCATTGGTTCAGTCCTGACTCTAGTTCAGCAGTTACCTGGGCCAGTGTGGGGCCAAATTTTACAAAGGTGGGGGTCTGGCCCATGGAGGGAGATGGGGAGACTCACCTCGTGGAATGCACGTAGTGGGGACTCCGGACGCGGAGGTCAGGTGTGGATGGCATGCTGCACTGCGAGTTCCAGTGCGGGAGGCTGCGGATGGGGCTGGTCTGCAGGGAGCTGCTCCCACCTCCTGCTTCGGCACAGCTCCCCGTGCTGGGGAAGCGCTTATGGTTGCTGCAAACCAGAGGAGGCCACGCTGGTCACTGCCTGCTAGGGCTGCCCCTTCACTGAGGTCTCTGACTGTGGCCTCAGGACATCCCTCTCGGGGTCAGGAAAGTCTGCCCAGGACTCCCCCAGAAGTGGATGGGTGTCCTTATCCCTTACCCTTCATGCCTTATGGCAACGTGAGATGAAGCCCCTGTTCTGTGAAGCCCCTGCCTTCAACCACAGTTTCTGTTTCCCATAAGACAAATATTTACCTGTCTGGGTACCCACTGGGAGTTTTACAGGGCATAATGAAGGGAAATGAGAAAAACAGAGAGGCAGACAAAAACCCCCCTCTCCATATCAGCTGAATAATGAACTGGTAATACACAGCTAAGATTACAGCTGTTTGGCTCTGGAATTCTGTTGGATGATGGTTTAGGGTTCTCAGCCATTTTGGGATTCTTATGAGTGGACTCTAATTTGCCATTTCAGAATACTTCTGCCTATTATTTCCTAATTAATTCCCATGGAATTTAAGGACATTCAAGCAAGCTGCTGCAAACGTGGATTGTGAGCCAAAAACCCCAATTTCCCTGCGAATGACAAATCTGCACCTCCAGCGAGTCGGCAGCAGAGGGCGCTGTGGCGCAGCCCTGCTGGAAGGCAGCCCAGGGGAGGCGCAGCGGGGGTACCTGTGACTCACAGATGCTACTTAACCCTTGGATTCTGCCCAAGTGTGGACAATGACCTCGTGTGGCCTTCCCGGCCCAGCTCACCTGGAGTGACTGTGCGAGGAACGTTTCTTGACCTTCTCGTAAGGCTCATCTAGCGAGGACTCGCTCCACATTTTGGGCTTTATGGGCGACTTGTCATAGTCGTTGCGGTGATAGTGCATCTGCCTGAGTCCCTCCAGGGACTGGGGAGGAGGTGGCCGGTTGTGCGACGGTGGCCGAGGAGGGAGCCCCTTGTGAGGGGACTGTAAGGGGGACAGTGTGCTGGTGACCTGAGAGTCTTCTGCACCAAGACGGAAAAAAGAGTGTAAGTTAGCAAGGGTCATCCTCCCCAACTACCCCCGCAGGCTCCGCCCACCCTAACTCCACCCCCGCCATCAGAGGTCAGTGGACAGGAGCAGTGGTTTCACTGTTTTACCCCTCAAATCAGTGAGGAAGGAGCCCCTGGAAGGAGCAACCTGCGATGGGAATGGGGGGCCCAAGTGATGTAGTTATGCCCCTTGGTAGGTCCAAGGTCTGGCATGTGGGGAAGAAACCGATCACACGCAATGCTAAGGACACTCTATTCCTACTCCAGGTTCTCCTTACAGAGGAATCTCCTTCAAATGTTCCACTTTCCTCCCCAGCAGAGACTGGAGTCCACAGAGCTCAAAACCAGCGCTGGATCTCTGCTATTCAAAACATGGCCCCCACTCCCCTGCAGTTCCAGCATTTCCTCCCACCCATGTAATGAATAAAAGTATGCTGCTGCCGCTGCTGCTGCTAAGTCGCTTCAGTTTTGTCGGACTCTGTGCGACCCCACAGATGGCAGCCCACCAGGCTCCCCCCTCCCTGGGACTTAGCGGGCAAGAACAATAGAGTGGGCTGCCATTTCCTTCTCCAGTGCATGAAAGTGAAACGGGAAAGTGAAGTCACTCAGTCATGCGGACTCTTAGAGATCCTATGGACTGTAGCCTACCAGGCTCCTCTGTCCATGGGATTTTCCAGGCAAGAGTACTGGAGTGGGTTGCCATTTTGTTCTCCAAAATATGATGATCTGATTGCAAATAGCAGGGCCAAGACAACTGCATAAATATGCTGCCAGCCTCATCTCACATCAACGACAATGAATATTACAGTTATCATTATGACTGGGAGCAAGATCTTTCATGTTTTCTCTCTGAATCACCCCTTACCACCTGAAGTTTTCCTAAAGGGCAAAAATAAATAAATAACTGCCACTTAATACGATGGATTGTTCAAAAAAGATTTAAAAAAAGAAGAAAAAGTAAAAAAGATCTCACAGAAAAACCTGGACGACCTTTTTGGCCAATCCAGTATTTCCATGTCATTAATGCCCTGACCTCTCCAGGTTGGGCTTAAATTCATGGTAACATTCTCTAATATGGTTCTGTGTTTGGAATTCCTTCTCTGATGTGTGGTGGTGCTGGTGGTGATGGTGGGCTGGGGTTGGGGGGTGGTAGGTGTGCGATCACTTCTAGTTTTGTAAGAATTTCCCAAGAAAATATCCTGAGAATCACTATGTTTTTGGAGATCAATGAGCAATAAGAAGAAAGTTTTCTAGGTGACCAGGAGTCTAAAGGGACATCCTTCTTTCCCTTTCACCATTTCTCAGGAAGGTACAGAGACTTGTTTTCTTCTGGCTGCCTGAAGGCTCTCCTAGATGGTTTCAATCTTTATGACCCAAACCAATGTCCACTTCTTTCCTCCAGAAATTATACTCAAAAGGAAACTATACATGGTGTTTAAATCATCTGTTCAGGTAAAAATGTGGTTTTGGCAAATAAAAAAGTCAAACACCATCCACTCACTTGGATAACATCACCCACTCAATGGACATGAGTTTGAGCAAACTCCAGGAGGACAGTAAAGGACAGGGAAGCCTGGCGTGCTGCAGTGCATGGAGTCACAAAGAGTTGGACATGACCAAACAACTCAAACCACTCACCATCACCTTAAATCTTACCTCCAGGCCCCAAGACATTATGAAATTCCAATAGGCATGTGTTTCTGTAGTGCCCACCCACTCTCAGCCAAATAGGTGACCACTGAGAAGTGAAAGAATCACAGGGAACCCGGCGTCATTTTGATCCGGCTCCTGGGTTTCCACTGGGCTGTTCCAGACTACATACAGCTTAATCCCAGGCTGTCCCAGACTACATTCAGTTTAATCTATGCTCTGAGTTCTCAACCAGGAAACAGACAACATACCATCTTCAAGAACAAGGGCATCTGACAGGGAACTGTCTTCACTGGCAATATTTCCATCTGGGAAGACAAAAAGCATAAATGTATGAGTTGAACACACCCCTTAGACAAAGCTCTATTTGTGAACGTCGTTGAGTTTCCCACCATCCCATTTCTTTCTAATCAGAAAGAACCCATGAAACACAATTAAAATGCTGTTAGGCATTTCTTTTGACAGTCTCTGTGGTAGGTCATGACTCACCCCCCATCCCTGACACTGCAATGTGCCCGTTCTTTGTTTCACTGGCGACAGCAATACTGAGCAGCTTAACATCCAGCATAAAGGCCGCCTGGCCACATCATTGCCTCGGCCCATCTCAGGGTGCGTTCCAACTCAACCCAAGGAAGTGACCTGCTATTTATTCTACACACGCGAAACTAGGGTGAGGAGCTTGGTTTGGCTCATATGACAGTAAATGACTTCTCAATAAACTTCTTAAGTCATTAGCAGACAAAACAAGCTTCTAAGTACAGCTTTTCTCTCTGAAGCTTATTTTCACAGACACCATTCAATTAACCATGAGAACACACCCAGAGGGAGACAGAAAGGTAATCCCCTTCCTTTAGCAGCTAGGGAAACTGAGGGATATCTAGGGAGGGATGGCTTGTTCAGGACTGTGCTGCTCTCCTGGCTAAGTTAGCATAAGATCCCAGGTCTTTAGATCCCAAACTTAGCCTTTTATCTCTTAAATAACAAACCAGGCTAAGGCATGGAAGAAGAAACTGGAATTACTCTAATTCAAGTGGGCCCTTATGATGAAACATTATTTCAAGGAGGCAGCAAAATGGAGGAGGTATATTCTTAAGCAGGTAAAATACATGGCTAACAGCTTGGATGGGACCATTCACCAGCTGGTCAGAGAGAGAGTTACAGACAGACTCTGCCGGTTGTCCTCACAGAATGGCCCTCACTGAGCAGGCGGGGGAACCATGCTCTTCTGTGGTCGACCAGCAAGACGTTTGTCCCTCAGCTGTCCCTCCCAGACTCCATCAGCCTTGCTGATGTTTCTGCAGAGTTGGGGAACCCCCAGGTCCCTTCAGGGGTGCAGAAGGAAGTCCCAAAAGGCAGAGAAGACAGAGAAAGGCAGGCTGACTGCAGCTCTTTTAGGGAACATGATAACATCTTGGCCAAGGACAATAGGGCAAGAGGCAGAAGGATAGTAATTTCAAATTTCCTAGAGCAAGAGAATTGTTATGATCTTTCTCTCTTTGAACTAAGAATTCTCTTTATTTGTATTTCTTGATGAACTATGAACTGCTAGGAGACACAGCCTTGACTAGCATCTTGGAGTCAGCAGTCTATTATCCCCTCCCCAGGATGCCCACAGTTTTCAGTTACAGCAATATATACACATAGCGGTGGTAAAACATACATAATGGAAAGTTTACCATTTTAGCCGTACAGTTCAGTGAATTTAAGAACATCCACACTGCGGTGCAGCCATCACCACCATCCAGCCCCAGAACTTCTGTCATCTTCCCCAAACTAAAGCTCTGTCCCCTGTCCACCTCCCCCAACTCCTCCAAACCTCTCTTCTACTTTCTGTCCTCCTGGAGCTAACATATGATAAATGTGTATAAACTATGAAAGGATACTTGATAATATATCTTAAAGAAATTGATAAGGAAGGACCTACTATATTCAGGGAACTATATTAAATTATCCTGTAATGGATAAGAATCTGAAAAAGAATAGCTGTATATATCTAGTCTCTTGGGGAGCACTTTGCTATACACCTGAAAGGAATGCAGTGTGACACAACACAACTATTCTTCCATTAAAAGAAACAGTGTTTGCTGACTTAAAAAAAAAGTGATCATGATAGTTGGGAGAGAATTGAGGGTTGGTGATGAATTCTGGGTTCTTTCCTTCTAGTGTTCACCAAATATAGTCTCCCCAGCTCCTAACCCCTCCTGGACCAGGGTTTTGGGCTCTAGACCATCAGAGTGGGGAGCCCCAGATCTCTCCAGCTTCAGCAGTGGGATAGAAGCCTATGGAGACAAAAGAGGGCTGTGGAGGTGCTGGCCTCGGGGTAGCCCAGCCTCCCGCCTTTCCTTCCAGACGTGCGTAGGGTGACCAGGTCCCTGAGGATGTCGGAGCCTAGGCTGGCTCAGGACTCAGCTCCCAGGAGACTGAGAGGACTGCATTCCCAAGAGGCCATAAAGAGTAATAATGCTCCTTTGATTTGTACAATCCCTTTTATCTCTGGTTCTGAGTGCATCTTATTGCTCTCATTGGTACCAGGTCTTTCTAGCTTCATTTTATGGATGGAAACATTAAGGCACAGGGCTAGTTCAGCAGCTTGCTAGGTTACTCAGGGGTCTGCGCTTTGGGTCCACACTCTGGACAGGGACGCCCATCCCCTGAGGCCAGTGGGGGAAGGGACACCCACAGTGGGAAGTGGTCTTAGCACTGACCGTCGATGATCAGCGAGGCCCTCTGGGTGGGTTTCTTTCCAGATTTGACGCGGTTCTCGTTGATGGCGCTTTCAATCTCCTGCAGCTTCTTCAGTGCGTTCAGATAAGAGGTTTTCCTCTGCTTCTTCAGTTTTTTGCTGACATTGGGGTCACTGGCCAGGCGGCGGGCGGCCTCTGTAATCTGGGACTGAATGGCAAACTCCCGCTCCAGGCGCTCCAACTCGGCTTCCTGCAGGAGGGGGAGCCAAGGCCGCACTTAGGCGGATGCCGAACAGGTGAGGCCCATCCTCCCAACCCTGCCTCGCCGCGCGAGACATGTGCACTAGGGACCCAGCGGCCGCAGGGCCCACCCCAGCTGGGCCTGGCCCCTCAGCGCCTGCTCCTCCAGTCCCTGGCAGCCAGGGACCTTGACATGCCCACTTTTGAGACTCTAGGCTAGGCCCCTGATCCATCCTGGGGACAACATCAGCCCTGAGACTGGCACCGTCACTGAGAAGCAAGGAGTTTTCAGGCCTGGGGGCCACTAGGGTTCATTTCCAAGGTCTACAGCAACGTTCTGGAAGACCCAGCTTGGAGGCGATCCAGGGCCCACTGGGTTGGTGTCCGCTTTCCATCAGGGGCATGGTCTCTCTGTGCTCTTCTGTGGGTCTGCTAGCAGGGGACTCACAGGGACATCCTGCCCCTGCCCCCAGCCGCAGCACATGCCCTCTGTCTCTCCTATTTTGAGCCCTTCATGCTGGGCCTCATCCCTACTTAATCATGCCTCCTTCAGATGTTTTTCTGTGACCTCTGCTGTCCACACACACCTGCTCTGCACACAACTTCTACTGAATGACCAGGGACGCCCCCGTGAGTCTGGCTGGTGGGTGGTGGAGCCAGCTCCCTGCTCCTTGGATCATCCTGGGCACCCCTTCCTTTCCCGTGTGCCTCCCTCCCTTCCTCCTCTACTCCTGACTTTGGCTGAAAGGAGCAGGGGGATGACTTTTCCCTTAAATAGGGTTTTGAACCCAGGAGAAATGCAACTGTGGCCGCCAGAAGGTGCCTGCTGGGCCCAGAGGATGCAGGGGCCCTCAGATTAACTGCTGGCTTCTCTGCAGCTCAGCTGGTGCCTTCTGCAAACACCGCCCAGACCATTAAAACCAAGGGAGCCCAAGCCCGCGTTGTAGCTCCGGAGGATCCACAGCCTGGCTAAAGGCTGAAAGGAACGGATCTAACCACAAAAGAACAGAGCACTGAGCTCGCTGGAGCCAACACTTCCTAGTCAATGGCCGAATATTCCATCCTCACCTGTGGGCACCGTGTGCCTGGCAGGGTGCCTCCATCAGGCACAAAACTCTGAGCTGGACTTTACTTCCTGTGGAGCCCTGAAGGGACAGGCCCAGGGGGAGACTGAAAGGAACGAGTAAGGGGCTAATAAAAGTCCCTGGGTCCTTCAAACGCCTAATGCATTTCTTCATCCCTGGAGAAGAGTAACCATAACCAGGTGGACTCTTGTCTTGCCCGGACCCTCCAGACAAAAAAGTCACCAAGGACACAGCCCAGTCTGTCAGAGTGACCTCAGCTTGCAGCTGCTCCCGGGCAGGCAGAACAGCCCTGGCCCAAGACCCTGACCATGATGTTGTGGGAGCCCGGGACACACTCCTGCTACTGAAACCGAGCCAAGGACAAGGCTGGCGGCTCGTCCGCACAGATGGCTGCCTGCGTGTGAATAGGGAGGTCAAGGGCATTCCCAGGAGAAAGTTGCATCTGCTGATGACATCTGCAGGAGACAGGGATTCTTAGGGAGCCGAGCATCTTTTACAGGGAAGTGTGACAGAGGCACTGTGAGAAGGCGTGATGGGAACGTGAGAAGAACAACAGGGCATGGGTAGGGTGGGGTGCTCACTCCAGTGGGGTCTCCCCTGGAAAGTTCAGTGCAGGTGTCCTACCAGTACAAGAGGAGTGGAAGTCTCCAGGCAATTCTGATGACAGCCAGGTTTGAAAAATACTCCATCAGGCGGTTCTCTAAATTGCACCAGCCTGCACCCCAGTTCTGACTCTGATAAAGTCCCAGGCCCACCCACAGCCCAGCACCCCTCCTGCAATACCCCTCATGGTTACCAAGCATCTAGCAGTTGTCAATACTGAGTTAAATATTTTCCGTCCACTTGCTCACTTAATCCCAGGGACAGTCTGGAGAGATAAGGGTTATGACCTTTGTTCTACAGAAGAGGAAAACTGCCTCCGGGTTTGGATGAAGGGTTCTAGCGCATCCACCAGTTCTCCCCAGTGCCTGGGGATGGGGGGCTGCTATTACAGATTTCAGGAGGCTGGTCACCCCCCCTCAGTTGTCCCCAGGGCATGTGTGTTTCCCCCTAAACTTAACCACTGCACGTGTTATGTGACAACATCATGTTCTCTTTTTAAAAACATTAAGCACGTACGGAATTCCCTTCTCCACTGGCTCTGATTCCTGCCCTTTGGAACCCTCTGTTCAATAGTGTTGTAATGAGTAACTATATTTGGAATAAATTTGGAAAGCCATTTCCTGGATGTGCCCCTGGGGCCTGAGGTGTGCCTGGCCTTGAATTTCTCTTGCTCTGAGATTGGATAACTTATTAACCAACTGGGTGCCCAAGGCTTACTGAAAAACACTCTGATGCTGGGAAAGATTGAGGGTAGGAGGAAAAGCCGGTGACAGAGGATGAGATGGTTGGATGGCATTACTGACTCAATGGACATGAGTTTGATCAAGCTCTGAGAGACGATGAAGGACAGGGAAGCCTGGCATGCTGCAGTCCATGGGGTCACAAAGAGTCAGACACAACTTAGTGAATGAACAGCAACAAGGGCAGACCCGACGGTCTTTCCCCAGCCAACAGCACTCCTGCACCTGCTGACATGGCCTCAGCATTCTTCCTTTTTGATTGTTTTCTCTCATAGATCACACAGTACATTCGGCTCTCAGTGACAAAGAGCTGGGAGAAGTACACGTGACTGTTATGGAATAGCCTCTGGTTAACTTTGCTGCCTGTGACAGGCCTATTGAGTCAGACACACAGCCTCTGCAGAAATCAAAATGCTTTCAGATTAACACAGGTAACCAATCCTACCAACAGGCACTGAATACTGACCAAACAGACAACTTAAGAAAAGATTACAAGGAGGGCTACTCAGGAAGAAAAGAGGGTGCGGTGTTGGGTAGAATGAAACATCATCAGAGTAAACCCTGGCATCCTCACAAATGGGCCAGTAAGGCGGGTGTCAGAGAATCCAGCCACAGAGAGAAGAAACACGCACCTCTCCTTTGGGCAAGATTTTCTGCTCATCCAGCTTGAAGGCCGTCCCGATTCTTCTCCGAACAATGGGTGGCTCCTCTCCTGGATCCAGGGGATACTCTACAGGCAGTTTGCCCGTCAGCTCCTGTAGAGGTGTGACATCATGGGAGGAGGGGTCAGCAGAGCATCCATGATTGGCTTCTAGGACATGGACACACGCACGCACACACACATACATGCATGCACATAAATGGGCACGCACATGCACATACACAGACACACATGCATGCACACACATACATGTGCACACACACATGCATGCTCTTCAAAGCACAGATCCAATACATAGATTTGAAACCATAACCTTACACAATATTAAGGTTAACAGGAGGTCCTACAGTGCAATTTCATTTCTACAAATGTATGAGAGCAGTCCTTTTACAGAACAGAAGCACTTGGAGAAGTTTTTCCCAAAGTAAGTTCCTATCAGGTAAGTTAAGTCACTGTTGGTTTTCATCATAAAAACCCGAATTTCATTCACTTGTTAATTTCACACACGTGTCCAGCGTGTCTACTGTGTGCCCAGCGAGACTGCCCAGTCAGTAAGAGCAGTGGCAACACGAGATCTCTGGTCTTTCTGGCTCTAAACTCTGGTTCTTTTCACTGCATCAACTGTTCCCTCTCAAGTATCAAAGTTCAAAATGAGTCTTTCAAATGAGCTTTCTAAGGAAGATTGGTATCTATTGGGTAAATCCCAGAGAAGGGCATTATTACATTATTTAAAACCTGAATATGAGTAATAATTATTCCACTCTGGCCGGATGCTCAAGGAACAGGCTGAGCTAGAAAGACTTTAAATGTGTATAGATATGAGTTTCACTTGAAACTAAAATATAATCCATACTACTGACAAAGCTATTAAAAAAAATCTGGTGTATGTGCCTTTGGGGCTCTGGAAATCTAACTGTTGTGAGTAGAAGGACAGTGAATTTAGCGGACAGACCACCATGGGAACAATGGTCCTAGGAAAAGGCGAAGAGAGGTCTGTGGGATGATTCACGGTTAGGATGAGGCTCTCTATAAGTGGTTACCTTTGGGGTGAATAAAGATTATATTTGAGTCAGCAGCTAATCCACATGGTGGAGCCCAGGTGTCTACTGCAAGGAGTCACTTCCAGGGACCAGAAAAGCCTGGGAAACCCACTGCCTGCCTCCAAGGCACACGTGGCCCTTCCAGGCAGAGCCAAGCCCTGGTCTCTAGTCTCAAACCAACATGGATGCTACATAAAGACCCAGTAGAGGCTCTTATCCGTCACTCACACAGAAACTTCTATGCCAGGCAGCCTCCTACAGGCAGGTGAGCCCTGATCATTAGTTTCCAGGGGCAGACTGACCCTCTGACAGGAGAAGTGATCTGGCTTCTCTGTGCCACTCGTGTGTGCACACTGGGGTGTGTGTCTGTACATGATGAGTTGCATGTATGTGTGAGTGCATGGGTGGGTGTACCTGCCATGTGCAAGCACACCCACTCCCTGCGATCCCAGGCCCCTCCTCCTGGGTTCAGGCCGTCAGGAAACGACCTCCTGGCCTTTTTATTCCTCGGTGTAAGCATTTCAGAGCACAATGGCCAACTCTTTGAGTACAAAATGCTCAGCAGTTTTCTTCCCTGTTTTTTCTCTTTTTTTAAACGTGGTTCAAATGTCTCCCAAGTAGTTATGTGTTTACTCGGCAACATTTTTATCTATTGCCCTGAAAGTCTGCCTATAAATAACATGACAGATAGAGGGTTTTATGCTGTTAGGACTTTCTTTTTGGCTTTGTGACTTAAAAAAGGAGGGAAAAGTTGTTAAAATGTAAAAAAATGATTTAAAACTCTAAAGAGAGAGTCTGTCGTTTTCTAACACAAAATTGCAGATCAATTCCAGTCCAATAAAAAACAAATTTTTTTTTTAAATCTATGAAAAGTTTAAAGCATGTCTCTAAATTTCCTCTTCCATTGTAAGCTACTACAATGGAAGAGGAAATATTGAAAAGCTGTATTGATAGTTACTGCAAATTGAGACTTTGTATTGTCCCAGCAAGAGTACCAAGCCTTCTGAGAATAATGAAATAAAACTTCAAAGAAGAGAAAAAAGTCTGTGGTTTTAAAACAAAATATCTTTTTAGAAAATAAAGCTACTGATTTTCCACCATCTGCTTGAAGGTATTTGAGTCCAGACCTTGATTCTCCATATTTAATCTGATTTCACGTGTAACCAAAGCTGCTGGCGAAAGGGGAATTTAACACACTCTGGTGAGAGGCTCAATGGAGCCACAGCTGCTGCTGCTAAATTGCTTCAGTCGTGTCCGACTCTGTGCAACCGCAGAGACAGCAGCCCACCAGGCTTCCCCGTCCCTGGGATTCTCCAGGCAAGAATACTGGAGTAGGTTGCCATCGCCTTCTCTGCAATGGACCCAGTTCCCCTTCTATTCTTATGTCAGTTATATTCTGCCAAACACCCCCACTGCATCTCATTTGGGCTGCCCCATGCTCCAGATGACAAAAAGCTTCTCGATACCCTGAGCTGGGGGCATGGTGTGTGGGGGACACAGAAAGAGCAGGACTGTCAGGAACAAGTTCTCCTGTCCCCTGAGTTCAGAGGAGGTAGGAGACTGTGACCGGCTTCTTGTGAAGTCATTTCTGCCACTCGAGCTCTATTTTCTGGTGTCCACATTACAGAAAGTAAGAGCTTTGTTTTCCTTATTTTGCTTTTATATTTAAGAGAGACCTGTAGGCCTTTAACAGACATGCTAACCTTGTCGGGACATGTTTCACCAGTTTTCTAGTGCTGGTTCCCAGCTGGGTTTAAGGATGCTGCCTTTATTAAAAGCAAAATAAGGCTTTACAAATTAACAACTGCAGATACCCACACCCATGGTGTCTCAGTCTTTCCAACGCATTCTTATAAAAAGCTTGCTGATATTAACAGTATCACAGAGCACATCCCCCAGCCGGGCCAACTGCTTTTCCCAAGATTTGCAAAGGATTTGCGCTAATGTGGGTCTGCTTTGAGCCGGCTCCAGTTTAAATCAATCCAGAGCATAATTAAGCCAAGTTGAACTGTAACGTGATCTCCTTCTGTGGCCCCTGCTTTCATTCTTCCCGGAGTAAGGCATTATGATTTGGGGGAGGGGAGTAACACTCTTCAGCTTAGTTTGGGAACACCTTTCTACTTCCCTTTGGGAGTTGTTGACCAACAAAGCTCCTTGTACTGTTACATGTAGGACTATCTCTCCCCCAAGGGTTCCCACCCCATTGTATCCGTGTGCAAGCACGCTCACAGTAATGTGAACTGCATTAAAAGAAATCAAGCCTTCATACATAACAAAGAACTGTGATATAAGCAGAAGGTGGTGGAAAAAGACACACAAATAAATATAAACAGTGATCTGCTACAGCCCCTAAATCTCAATGAGACATGAGACTAGTGTGTGTATGTATGTGTGTGTGTATATATATAATATATATGTGTGTGTGTATATATACATATATACCTGAGGAAGTATTGCTTTGCATAAAATTATAATATTTTTTAGATAATTAAGCTAAGATTTCATTAACAAACAGCTCATGCAACTCAATATCCAAAAAGTAAACAACCCAATAAAAAAATAGGCCAAAGACCTAAACAGACATTTCTACAAAGAAAACATACAGATGGCCAAAAAGCACATGAAAAGATGCTCAACGTCACTAATTATTAGAGAAATACAAATCGTAACTACAGTGAGGTATCACCTCACACCAGTCTCAAAAAGTCTACAATTAATCAATGCTGGAGAGAGTGTGGAGAAAAGGGAACCCTTCTACACTATTGGTGGGAATGTAAATTGGTGCAGCCACTGTGGAAAACAGTATGGAGGTTCCTCAAAAAAGTAAAAATAGAGCTACCATATGATCCAGATACATGTCTAGAAGCAATCCAACTCCTGGGCATATATCTGGAAAAAAACTTTTCTGAAACCAGAAAAACTTCTTTTGAAAGTATGTGTGCACCCCAGTGTTCACTGCAGTACTGATTGTAGTAGCCAAGATGTGAAGGCAACAGAAATGTTAATTGAAAGATGAATGGATAAAGAAGATGTGGTATATAGACACAATGGAATATTACTCAGTCATCAAAAAGAAGGAAATGATGCCATTTGCAGCAACATGGATGGACCTGGAGATTGTCATTCAAAGTGAAGTAAGTCAGAGAAAGATAAATATCATATGATATCACTTATATGTGAAATACAAAAAAAAATTGATACAAATGAACTTATTTACAAAGCAGAAACAGATTCACAGACTTAGAGAATAAATTTATGACTACCAGGGGGAGGTATAGATTGGGAGTTTGGGATTGACATGTAGACACTAATATATTTAAAACAAATAACCAAAGACCTACTGTAAAAACAAAACAAACAAACAAAATATAAAAAGCTAAAGAAAAAAAAAAGCATCATCTACCAAAAAAGGAATAAACACTAAAAGACACACACCAGATCATGAGTTTTAAAGAGGATCATATATCAGATGAAACCCTGACTTCCTTGTTGATCCCCAGAGGTGCTTCTCACTGTGATCTCAACAAAAATAAATCTGAAATATACTCAAGAGAAACAAAAGCCATAACAATGATAAACTCAGGGCCAAAGTCTTAGGAAGATGGCAAACCACTCCATCCAACGTGGTCCCGTCATATGAGAAAATGCTTTATGAACTGAGGTACTACGCAAATGCTGCTGTCTACGGTTGCTATCATGACTGTTACTGCTGCTTGTCATTTGGCCCCTGGGCGGAGGCTCTCACTGGGAATTCTGCCAAGACGTGCTTTCACTGCTGTCAGAGTGCTTCACTGTGGTCCAAGATGAGGGATGCTCATCCCAGGGGCTGGGTGTCATCAACAGAAGAGGTCCTGCTTCCCTCTTATGCCCGCTGTGACACCCACCCTTGCCTTTTATACACACACGAGCACAGATGAGCGACAGGATGAACAGGGGGTACTCACTGCTTCTCGGAGGCAGAGTTTCTTCAGCTCTTCCAGCCGCTGGCGCAGTGTTTCCTCCAGAGCTTCCTGCCTGGATTTCAAGGCCGCCAGCATGTCTTTCTTGGCCGACTGAGAGCTATCCGATTCCTGAGAACCTGTCAATTAACGGCAGGGTTACTAGGCCAGTCGACAAAGGGATGCACATCTGGACCACAAAGGAACTGAACCAAAGCCCACGCTGTGGATGTGGGATTTACCCCTGGAATCAAGGGAGTGTGAAATAAAACAGGTGCTTGGGACTCCAAGCTTGAGGAACAACTTCTCAGCACTCTGGGTAATTTGCAATTGGTCAGAAATACTGGTAGGGAAATGTACATGCCTGAAAGAGAAGTTTCTCTTCCTTGATTATCTTAAGATATGTCGCATATCCATTTTATTTTCACTAGCAAATTTTAATAAACATTTTGCACCATGAAGGGGAAGTAAATTGAGCCAGTCATTTTGTTTAATTTGTTTCTGGCCATGCCACACAGCTTAAGGGATCTTAGTTCCTCCCCTAGGGATTGAAATTGCACCCTTGATAATGAAAGCACAGAGTCCTAACCACTGGGCTGCCAGGGAATTCCTGAGCCAGTCATTTTAATACATAGTTTTAATTTCTTTCAATTTAAAGTGCTTATTGTTTTCTTAGTACAAAGATAATGCATGTTTATCATAAAAATTTGACAATGTAGACAGGTATAAAAATAATCCATAAGCTAGTCACCCAGAGATAACCATCAATAAGCATTTTCTTTTGGTCTTTTTTTAGCTAAGCACATATAGTTAAAAAATAAAATTAGATTTTTATTGTAGTTCTTGAATGCAAGACTGAATCATGAGCAAATTCCCTCCTAATAAAAGTTATCCCTATTTTTACATGCAGCATAGAAATATCTGCTTGCTGATTCAAATAGCAGCCTGCTAGATAGGAAACCGTTGTGTAAGGTAAACTGTAAACCAAACAAAAGGAAAATAAGCCAAAATGCCAACTGGAGAGATTAAAATTAGATCGGAAGAATCATTTCTGGGCTGCAATGTTTGGACTCTTGAAATAGGTTTCCTGCAGTGAAGCTATTACACCTTTTCTACCTGGATGGTTAGACAAGGGACCTTGACACCCTGGGAAAGGAAAAGCTGCTTATTACTCTGCTTCTTGTGCCGTAGAGAGTGGAAATCTTAGAAATGGGTGGGTGTGCCTTCAAGGGGCCCCTGTCATGAGACCTGCAACAGCATCAAACAACATCGAATACATAGAGATTCATCTAGTGAAAGGTGGGTGGGATCTCCACAATGAAAAGTAGAATACTCTGCTGAGAAAAACACAAGACCTCAAACAAGATAGGGGAGTACTCTGGACATGGATTGGAGGCTTGGTGTTGTAATGATGTCAATTCTTCAGGAACTAAACCAGTGAATCACTGCAATCCCAATAAAAATTCCAGCAGGATTTGTTGGAGGGAGGGGTGGGAACTATATTTCCTTAGGAAGCATTTTGGAATGATTCAGTGAATGGATGACAGATTTGAGAATAATCCAAAAGGAATCCTCAATAGTCAACTGTTCTGTTACTTCCAGTGGTTAAAGAAGGTGTCTCAGAATCAATACGAGAAAAAACTTCTATGCTTTTACATCAAAAACCCTGCGAGGCTCCAATCATCCCCATAAATATACGATTCTTCTTTCTTCTTTAGGCTCTGAGCAGGAGTCCCCATGTTCCCTCAATTATCAGGCACCTAGGTTCTTATAACCCTAATCCTCAAGAATTTTCAATGTTTAGGTACACTTTGACTCCATTTTAGGCTTCCCCTACCCCCTACTCCATTCTAATTTGAAACAGAGAATCTCCATCACTGCAGGAATGGACCATTTTTGTCTCCATACTGGCTAATACATATTAGCTTGAATAAACAAATACTATTGTCAATCATATGCTTAGATGCTATAATTAAGTTGTATCTCATCTCGGTAAAGAAATCAAGTCCCTGTAAGTGGTTTCTTTATAGAATCGACCTTCCAAGCTTTTAATCATTTTTGAAGCTCTTTCCTGGATTTCATCATGCTTCAGTTGCATGTTTCCAAATTCAACAGTAAATGCAAACGAAAACTTGACCCTCACAAAGCGTCTATGACCTCATATCTCTCAGATTCTAAATCCATATGGTGTGCTCATGTCACATTTGGCTGGACACTACTGCAGGCTCCCCGTTTTGAAATGCTTCAGGTTTTCTACTCCCATAAGTCAATTACCCTGAGCTTATTAGTCCTGAACTATATCCAGTCTACATCCATTTAACATAACACAGCTATTAAAAAACCATTTTGTATCTTAATTTCATTCTCTTAGCCATAGTCACTTACCACAGGTGAAGACACACGAAAATTTAATGAGCTAAGCTCTATTTCATCACTGAAAGAATGAATAAGAATATAAAATAATACGGGAAGGAAGTCAGACTTTAGATTTAAAAAACAGACCCGGGGAGACTTGGGTCTAAGAAGATGAAAGGATTTCTAGCACAAATGAAACATTCATTGTTTCCCCTCTCACCTCTACCTCACCTCTCAATAGGACATGATGATTTATGAAGCCTAAGCTAAGAATGAATTATATTTAAAGGATGGCAAAAATCACAACATTAAACTCTGGGTGGTAAAACACAGTGTTTCTGGATGATCTGACCTCTAGTTATGAGATTAGTTAAGCTTTGGTTTTGAGCTCATTAGCACTACCTAAATTATTATTATTTATAATAATTAGCCTAAATAATTCCTAAAATGTGAACATCAGCATTTTAGAAATCAGTGAACTAAAATGGACAAGAATCAGCAAATTTAATTCAGATGACCATTATATCTGCTACTGTGGGCAAAAGTCTCTTAGAAGAAATGCAATAGCCCTCATAGTCAATAGAAGAGTTGAGAATGCAGTACTTGGGTGCCATCTCAAAAATGACAGAATGATCTTGGTTTGCTTCTAAGGCAAACCATTCAAGATCACAGTAATCCAACTCCATGCCCCAACTACTAATGCCAAAGAAGCTGAAGTTGAATAATTCTATGAAGATTTACAAGGCCTTCTAGAACTAACACCCCCAAAAGATGTCCTTTTCATCACAGGTGATTGGAATGCAAAAGTAGGAAGTCAAGAGATACCTGGAGTAACAGGCAAGTTTGTCCTTGGAATACAAGGTGAAGCAGAGCAAAGGCTAAAGGAGTTTTGCCAGAGCACACACTGGTCATAGCAAACACCCTCTTCCAACAACACAAGAGATGACTCTACACATGGACATCACCAGATGGGCAATGCCGAAATTAGACTGATCATATTCTTTGCAGCTGAAGATAGAGAAGCTCTACACAGTCAGCAAAAACAAGACTGGGAGCTGACTGGGGCTCAGATCATCAGCTCCTTATTATTGCAAAATTCAGGCTTAAATTGAAGAAAGTAGGGAAAACTACTAGACCTTTCAGGTATGACCTAAATCAAATCCCTTATGACTATACAGTGGAAGTGACAAGTAGATTCAAGGGATTAAATCTGGTAGATGGAGTGTCTGAAGAACAGGAAGCTATGACCAAAACCATCTCCAGGAAAAAGAAATGTAAGAAGGCAAAGTGGTTGTCTGAGGAGGGCTTACATATAGCTAAGAATAGAAGAGAAGGAAAGGCAAAAGAGAAAGGGAAAGATTTACCCAACTGAATGCAGAGTTCCAAGAATAGCAAGAAGAGATAAGAAAGCCTTCCTCAGCGATCAATGCAAAGAAATACAGGAAAACAACAGAATGGGAAAGACTAGAGATCTCTTCAAGAAAATTAAAGATAACAAGGGAACATTTCATGGAAAAATAGGCACAATAAAGGACAAAAATGGTGAGGACCTAACAGAAGCAGAAGATATTAAGAAGAGGTGGCAAGAATACACAGAACTATACAAAACAGCTCTTAATGACCCAGATAACCACAATGGTGTCATCACTATCTAGTCAGACATCCTGGAGTGTAAAGTTAAGTGGGCCTTAGGAAGCATTACTTTCAACAAAGCTAGTGGAGGTGATGGAATTCCAGTTGAGCTATTTAAAATCCTAAAAGTTTATGCTGTTAGTAAAGTGCTGCACTCAATATACCAGCAAATTTGAAAAACTCAGCAGTGGCCACAGGACTGGAAAGGTCAGTTTTCATTCCAATCCCAAAGAAAGGCAATGCCAAAGGATGTTCAGATTACCATACAATTGCATTCATTTCACATGCTAGCAAGGTAATGCTCAAATCCTTCAAGCTAGGCTTCAACAGTACATGAACTGAGAACTTTCAGATGTACAAGCTGGATTTAGAAAAGGCAGAGGAACCAGAGACCAAATAGCCAACATTCGTTGGATCACAGAAAAAGCAAGGGAATTCCAGAAAAAACATCTACCCCTGCTTCATTGACTATGCTAGAGCCTTTGCCTGTGTGGACCACAACAAACTGTGGAAAATCCTTCAGGAGACAGGAATACTAGACCACTTCATCTGCTCCCTGAGAAAGCTGCATGAAGGTCAAGAAGCAACAGTTAGACCTGGACATGGAACAATGGATTGGTTCAGAACTGGGAAGAAAGTACATCCAGGCTTTATATTCTCACCTTGCTTATTTAACTTTTATGCAGAGTGCGTCATGTGAAATGTAAGGCTGGATGAATCACAGGCTGGAATCAAGATTGATGGGAGAAATATCAACAACCTCAAATATGCAGATACACCACTCTAACAGCAGAAAGCAAAGAGAAACTAAAGAGCCTCTTCATGAGGGTGAAAGAGGAGAGTGAAAAAGCTGCCTTAAAACTCAATATTAAGAAAACTAAGATCATGGCATCTGGTACCATCACTTCATGGAAAATAGATAAGGAAAAAGTGGAAATTGTGGCAGATTTTATTTTCCTAGGCTCCAAAATCACCACGGACAGTAACTGCAGCCACAAAATTAAAAGACACTTGCTCCTTGGAGAAAAGCTATCACAACCTAGATCACGTATTCAAAACCAGAGACATTACTTTGCCGACAACGGTCCACATAGTCATAGTTTTTCCACATAGTCATGTATGGATGTGAGAGTTGGACCAAAAGAAAGCTGAG